ACACAGAGCCGTTGTTCACTGACGAGCTGCGCAAAACCACATTCAAATTCGCACGATATTTATCGTGCAGCCCTAATAGAGATCTAATGCGGACAGTCAGACAAATAGGAAGTGAATCAATATAAGGCAGTTCCAGAGATACCAAAAGCAGAGAGTTGTAAAATGTGAACACTGTGAGATACTTAAAGAGAAATCTAAGATAATTAAAATGCAGCTTGGAAGAACTGTTCAAATGACTCGCATAGCTCTATGTCAGGTGTGAGGGGTGAGAACACTGACGACAGAAGATGGTGTTTTAGGTCAAGAAGATGCATTACTAATAAGGGTAGAGTAGTAGCTAGAGCGTGCAGTATTTATAGCAGATTTGTATAACTGAATATGGTCTTTGTAAGCAGTAAGGTGCACAGTCAAACTGGTTTTCCTGTAAAGGCGTTCAAGGCGATGACCAGCAGTTTTCAAGTCATGGAGTGCAGGAGTAAACCAGGGAGATGTATGTGTAGAAGTTACAAATGTACTTTTAAGGGGGGCATGAATATTATGAGCAGTGGAAATAGAGTTATTATATATGGCAAGTATATCAAGGGAGCTAGTGTGTTCGGTAATGACAAAGAGGTGTGTTTATACAGATTTAGAAAAAGTAATGGATTAATAGAGTTAATCCGTAGGGTTACGGTTGGTTATGGTGAATTTCACTGAATAAAGCTTAACTTACGGGTCAGAGGCAGCAAATACAGTTAGCACAGAAATGGCAGTGGTAACTGCGTCATCAAATGACTTTTTGCGGCAAAAGACAATTCTGGTACCATCTGTATAATGTCTTAACCTCTTTTACAAGAACAAATCTTGATATTATTGAAATACCAGTTGTTGAATGAGGTTAAGAATTTAATTTGTGTGTGTTCTGCTCCCTTTCAGTCTTGCCGGCTGTAATATCAATGCGCTGTGCTGTCAGAGTTTGTCATCAGCTCTACAATCCTCACACTCTGTCCTGAGAGAGCTGGATCTGAGTAACAATGATCTGGAGGATTCAGGAGTGAAGCTGCTCTCTGATGGACTGACGAGTACAAACTGTCAGCTGGAGATACTGAGGTATTTAAGATAATAATTTTTATTTTAATAACATAACATATAACATTTCTATGTTTGAACTTTTAGTAACTTGGATGTTCAATACATTGTAATTCAAGGTTTAGTGCTATATTTAGTGCTGATATAGATTTTTATGGGGTCCGAGCAAAGAAATGATTGAGGAAGATCTAAACATTCATAGTGGCAAATTCAGCAGTTCAGAGTTGCATTTCTGCTTTTAACTTTTGAATTGAATGGCATATACATATTTGTGTATGTTTTTTGGTCTACATATTTGTGTTAAAAGCTTTTAGGAAGAATGGCACACATAGTCAAGGCTTGTAAGTCAGATCTTAAATAAATTACAAATAAAGTACAGATCATTTTGATCTTTTATTGATAGCCCACATTACAAAATCTTACCTAAGTCCATAGATCAACTTCCATGTTAAGGAGCATAACTTTTACTATACATACACTGTTGCCACAG